CTCTGGAAATGATAAACAGCAGTTCTCCTCATCAACAAAGGTTCTGGTAGTCTACACACCACTTCTGAGAGCCAGTTCGGTGTACAGATAATCCTTGTTCACCAACTCAATTACAATGAGGGCGCTTGGCAATTGCAATTATAACGGTCACAGTGTTCCACAGTCATCATCATTTGCAATCTTCACTGGAAGCTTCCAACAAGCCTAGTCAATGGGGAAACCACCAGGATACACAAAGGACCACCAGGTGATGTCGTGCTTAACAACCATGCAGAAGTCACTTAACAATAGCTGCTAGAATCACCAAAACTACCCACTGTAAATTGGCAGTCCCATGACATCATGCTTTATAATCCTATGGCTTAGCGATGAAGTGAAGTTACCAGCCCCAATTATCAATGTTAAAGTCTACCTATAGTGGTTAAAGCATCAAGGTAGAAATCAGGAAATCATGTGTTCCAGTCAGTGGTGGGATTCAATTTTTTTTACTACCGGTTCTGTGGGCATGGCTTTGTGGGCGTGGCAGGGGAAGGATACTGTAAAATCTCCAGAGGTGGGATTTGCCGGTTCTCTGAACTACTCAAAATTTCTGCTACCGGTTCTCCAGAACTGGTCAGAAACCTGCTGAATGCCACCTCTGGTTCCAGTCTAGGCAGGGAGTCAACTGAATGATCTGGGGCCAGTCCTCAGTTCCAATAAGGAGACAAGGGCAAAGCACTTCTGAAATCTTGCCAAGAGAACTGCAGTCTTCTTCTGGCCAGTCTCCAGCAGTGAATACCGACTTGAAGGTGTGTGCACTCTTACAAACTGAATGAAAAATCCCACCGCACATCATATTCATTCATCATAGATCCACCGCTTACACTGAAATATCCTTTAGTCCAGTGATGTCAAACCTTTTCAGCACCGAGTGCCCAAACTGGAACAGGTGTGTGCATGCACGTGTGCCAGAGTGCCAGAAACCAAAGACCAGTTGGCCGGTGCATATGCCGGAGTTGCCGGAAACCTGAAGACCAGCACATATGCACACTGGGCAGCTAGTATTCGGGTTTCCGGCGCTCCAGCACATGCAAAGACCAGCTAGCCAGTGCGCCTGTGCGTGCCAGAAACCAGAACAGCACCTGGTGACATCATGCGTGCCCAGAAAGAGCTCTGCATGCCACCTCTGGGACGTGTTCCATAGGTTCGCCATCACAGCTCTAGTCCCTTTTTAAGCCATCAAAGGGCACAATTGGTTGCCCCTTGTTAGCTTCCTTTCTAAAGCAAAATTGGAGTCAGCCAAATCAGGTCTGGAAGAAAAAGAGGATTTAAATCTTCCTGCCACAATCCTGATAGGAACTAACCTTTTCTTCCAGTCTTCCATACAGGATTGACAGAGAGCAAAATCCAGCTGGATCTTGATTATGACGACAAAGATGAAACAAATGTAAGGCTCTCTACATCTGCCCCACTTCCAGCATGAATGTCCTTACCCCATTGCACCTACTTGTTAATGAAAAACCAACAATTCCAGGTTGACTGACAGGATATATTTAATTTGGTCCCCCATTAGTTGCTGGATCAGATCAGTTACTGTATAAACCACACCGCTGGACCGGTGCCACATTCCAACTCAAACTGGCTTACATCTAAAGAAGCAGGTGGGGCTTCTAAACAAGCCCTGATTGAAACCTGTTTCTTCATCATGCAACTCTCCGAAGTGACAGAATGGTTAAAGCTGCCGGTCATTTGTTTGGAGGTGTGTGTTTGTGGAACGTCAATACAACCAGAACGAGTTTATTTTATGAGAGAGATGACTAGAGACCTGCTGAATAGCCGTAAGGCACTACTGACCAATCTGTAAACAATCCAGAATATAGTCCTGGAAAACTCCACACCAGAGCCTCAGCTTTAAAACTCAGTCCTGTTATCACTTTTTCCGACATCCAGGCAAAAACATTCAAGAGTTGTATTCTCCGGTCCGATATTTTTAACTCCTCGCTCGGATTTACGGACCGAGTCTAGGCCTGGCGCCTAAACCTTACAGGTCACCTACTCCCGGGCAGAGGGCGAGCCCGTCCCGTTCGCCCCTCAAATAATCCCACCCTCAGCGCCTCACCTTTCCTCCCGACTGACTCACACACATCGTTATCTCCCGCAGCCAAGATAAACGGGTGGGAGAGGGGGGGTGGGGGGAAGAGGGAAGACGAAGGAAGCAAACGCTGCGAGCGGCGCAATTGCCACTAACCGCCGCGCGCGCCGTTAAACAGCATCCCGCTCCGCCCCGGCTTCAAATCTCACTCCGGGAAGGCCCCGGCTTGTGGGGAACCGGCACAGGCAAAGCCCACCAGCAAGCCTGGAGATTAATCGACCCCGCCCTGGAAAGTCCCTGCCTTGCAGATGAAGAGGGCTGGGCGGTTTTTCCCTTCACGCCAGCTCGACTGTTTTGGAGACTGCGAGAGGGGAGGGAAAGGGTGGGTGGGTGTCAGGAGCTCCAGTGGCCGGGGCACGCCCGGCCTCCAGCGGCCTGGAAACTTGGACGACCGTCCCGTGGGGGCAAAGCAAAGAATAATCAAGTTAACCAAACGCGGAAAAGATCCACCCCGCTAGTGGCGGCGCAACGCTTGTTTTCACGGTGCAACAATGCAAAAACTTGCCTTCTTACTAACTTAGGTGGATTCCCTTGCTTAAATCATTTTTAAAACGGTTTAAAATGTGCTGGTTAGGCAGAAGGACATCCAAGCTGCACCTGCCCCACGCGTAGTTTGCATGGGAGTCTTTACGGTGGTCTAGAGAGTCGAGAGGGGGGATTATATCTGGAGGGCGTGGGGGGGGGAAGTGGGAAGAAAGCGGGCTAATCGGCTTCGCCTTCCACATTCTCATTTGCACGTGTACTAAGCGCGCTTAAGCCTCCAAATGAGGTTTTGACCGTGGTCAAGTAGCGTTCGTTGCCTTCGTTAAAAAAGTTTATACTTGCTTGTCGCTTAATATTTAAGTCAAAAACAGGCAGCGCATGCATAGCCCACGAACCTTGCCTTGCAAACCAATCGTGCAAGCGCTCTAGAAAGCAACGACTCGGCTGCGCAGCTAAGATCACCGATCGGAGGCGCCCGCTCTGAACGCGCGCGGGCTGTTGCTCTTCTACTGTGTTTCGTCGGAACCAGGCCATATTTCTGATGCCTACGGTACATGCTCCAAGCTTTGCAAGCTATACTCTCGGTACCCACGTGCCAGTCGAATAAATTCTTATTTAGGAGGCCACTTTCCCCCTTCTCCCGGCCTTATGAACGCGCATCCTTTCATTTCGACGACTGCATAATAGTCCTAAGGAGAAACGCGTTCCCCTGAGTAAAATTCTTGCAATTCTATACAATAACTATAAAATATTGGGAGCGCCAAGAATGCTGTTTTTAAGTGCTCGGACAATCGAGTAATACTTCCAGAAGAAGAAGAAGACCATAAAAAGGCTTTCGCTTCGATCTTTTGTTTAAAGCAGAAATAATAAAAGCGAACGTGCAATTGTGGGACCCTCTCTACTTGTAAAACGAGAGGGGAGACTGTGTCCTTTACCAATTTTGCTATGGTTTTTCCAGCAGAAACTCCTCAAATACTCGAGAACAAGCAAGGCCTTCGTAGCTTTTTTTTTCCCTTTAAAGACATTTGCAAGATTGCTTTTTTTTTTAAAAAAAAAAGAAAGCTAAAGGTTGCATATTCCACCTACTTGAGGTTCGACACGTTTGAAAAGTTTGAAGCTCTGCAATCAGGAGTAAATAGCTCCGTTGCGGGCACATTAGATCATTGTAGACGATCTGTGCTTGCTCCTCTATATTTCATTGTGAGATTTTATACAGAGCTTTTCGTGGGGGGGGGGGGGACGTCGAGGATTCCCAACGAAGATTCCTGAGCAGATAAGCACAGCATAGGTGTATATGCACAGATGTGCGTACAAGTACAGTATTCGTGCGTATCCCCGGGAAGGGTAGCTGTATATTCCTGGGCGCCTGGATGGCGATTGGAGGCTTGTTGCGCAACGAGCTCCTGCGGTTCAGAATTTTAATATCACCCTTTTATATTTCAGGCTGTTAGATACCATTTCTGCAAACTTGGGTGTAATGAGGCAGCGAGGGGGCACTTAAGTACTATCCCCCCTCCCCCTGGGACGCGAGAGGCACAACTCCTGGCGAAAACGGTGCGCATCCCACGCTGCTGTTGGAAGGACCGTCGAAGCTCTTCGCTGCGGACACGCAGGAAACCCTCCCTTGCTTTCTCGATGCTTCTTGGGGCCTGCTTGAAGGGGAGGGCGTCGGAGGGGGGGGGCGGGGATGAGGTAGACTAGATGGCCTTTTGATCTCGCCTGCCTTCAATGACTTTGTGTGATTCCCCCGTTCCAGAGGGAGGGGAAAACCAGGGTGACCCACACGCGCCCAGGGTGGGGACCGTCGACAGAGACAAGAGGAACCCGCGAAGCAGCCTCGGATAGAGAGGCAGAGGATGAGCGGGCCAGTGCGTGGAAGAGAAGCGCTTGGATCCGGAGTGTAAAAGGTAAAAGCGGGCGAGTTGAGACGTGAGGGATGAAGGACGAGAAAAAGCCCAGGTCAAATCTGCGGAAGAAGCGTGCAGAAACCTCCCCACCCCACCCCCGCGAAAAGGGGCATCCGATGAGGTCGAAGGGGCTCTGAAGAAAGGGACGCTTTCCCCCCTCCCCAAAAGAGATCCCTACAAGGGGACAAAGAAGGCAAGAGAGGTCGTCGGGAGGAAGAACCGGGGTTCCGCGCCCGGCTTTGCGCTCGGGGAGGCTTAGAGGTGCCGAACGGTGCTGCCCCCGTGGGACCACGACGGGACAGCGTTCACGCCCGTGGGTGTGGGCATTGCGCTCGAGCCGCACCCGAAGGAATTGGAACAGCTGCTTCCCGGCTTCGGCTGCCCCCGGATGGGGAGGGGAGAACCTCGCCCAGGCGAGGCTTTTAGCAGCGACTGCGGAGCGAGCGAACGAGAGAAAGAGGGCAGGTAGATGAGGAGGAGGAAGGGATCGGCCGGGACACGGGCGAAAGGGGAGGGCGTCCCGCTGTGGCTGCAGCGACGGTAAGCTTGGCGAGGCAGGGGCGCGCTTGAGCGTGGACAGTCCCGCAGACGAAAGGGAAGAGAGGGGGGTGTTTCTGTTTAATGGGGCATTCTGGGTTCTGGAAGGGAGGTCTACCCTGCCGGGGAGCGGGGGGTGTCGTCTGGGGAGAGGCTTTTCAGTTTAAGCTACGGAAAGGGGTTTAGGCACAGGGCCGCCTGGAGGAAAACAGCGATTGCAGGGGTCTCAGACAGGTAGGTTTCCTGCCTGGGTCCACTGTTGCATTCCCAGCTCTTCTCTCTCGTCTTCTTCTGACAGGTCGCTTGTATCTTTCATAAGGTTTGAACAGGCAGAAGTGCAACTAGTAAAGCTGCCGTTCTTTGTTGGGGATATGGGTATCTAGTGAATTTCTGCCTGTCATCCAGAGTTCGTTCAAGAAAAACGTTTGGAAACCTTGACTCGGGAAGAGATGGTACCCATATGATTAGATTGGTGTTATAGATTGGAGACAGCTTGCGTTCAAAAGCTAGATGCAGCTGGGTACAAAGAAGAACTTGTCTTCATTTTTTGCTTGTAAACAACCCCGGGGGCATCTGGTTGGCCACTATGAGAAGCAAAGTGCAGGACTAAGATCAGCCTTGGTCTGATCTAGTTGAATCCCTGGATTCTTAAGGTCTTGTGGTTTTTTTTGTTTTTTGTTTTCCAGCTGTTGGGAAGAGCTCTATCTGTCATACTCCTCTTTTCTTCCTTAGAAATATATATCCAGGCTAGTCTATGAAGCAGAGATGGTTTAAGTTGCACAAAAGAAGGGAGCTTCTGTCAATAGTAACAACCATTCAATGTTGCTTGTAGAAAGCTGTGTAGAAGCCACGACTTGACTTAAACTGGAGGGAATCCAATCCAGGAGGGTGAGGCTGGGCTATTTCCTTAAGGGCCCTCTTTATTATTTGTTTTCATATTTATGAAAAGTTGCCATTGACAGCAAATGTTCTGAAAAGAAACCTAAGATACTCACATACAATTATCTAACAGTCCCCCACTCCAATAATCTAAGAATAATCCATAAGAGGATGCCAGTTTTGGGAAATATTAATTTTTTGCTACATGTATATCCTCCTATTGAAAATTAAAGGAATGCCTATCTCTCCTTGTTTTATCCTCATAACATTGTTCGAAGTAGACTTGGGGGAACTCCATAGACATAAATTCCTAGTCCAGTCATCCCATTCTCCCTTACTCTATACTACCTGCCTTTATATACCGTAACACCTTTAGTTGAATTAGCTTTTTTCTTGGTTTGCCCAAAATAAACTAAACGAACACAACATACCACATGAAAACCTATAGAAGGTTGAAACTAATCCAGCTTAATGTGTTGTTTATATGTAGCCACCAGGTCTCCATATTGTATGTGAGCTCAGCCACTGACTCCAAACGACTTGCTTTCCACCTCGTTCTTAGCTTTCCCTTTTGCAGGTTCTTCACCCCCATCCCTCCCTGGCAGGGACATGAGGGAGAGGGCGTCATCCAACCACACTAGAGAACCAACCCAACGCATCCAGGTGGAGTTCAGTATGGCCCCGAGGAACCCCCATGTGAATACTTGCTTTTTCGCTGCTTGCCTCTGCCTTTGGAGAGGGTAAGTAATAAGACTGTTGGGAGCGGAGGTGCCTATTCTGGAACAGGTAGCCTCAAGAGGATGTGGGTTTTGAAATCACTTTGAAGAACTTTGGGATCAGGGCAGGAATACCAAAAAAGATCCGTTTACTTTAAGCGCACTTTCCCACCTTCCCTGAGGTGGTACTCAGCAGGTTCTGACAGGTCCTGGAGAACCAATAGCGGAAACTGTGAGTAGTTTGGAGAACTGGCATAGACCACCGCTCACTGGCCCTACCCCACATCTATTCTCTGCCTCCCGAGTCCCAGCCGATCGGCTGGGTCTTCTTTTGTTGCCCTGCACAGGAGAACGGAGCTGGAAAGCAGGTTAGTAGGGTGGGGAGGGAATGGGATTTTGCAGTAAACTTCCCCTGCCACACCCACCAAGCCACATCACACCCATCAAGCCATGCCCACAGAACCGATAGTAAAAAAAAATTGAATATCACCACTGCACCTTCCCCTCTCTACAGAGCCAATAATAGGGTGAGAACAGCCTCTGCAGCTATAGTCTCAGCCCAGTTTTGCCCTTTTATCCTTCCCATTAAATATGAGCACAAATTCTAAGTGTAGAGTTTAAATTGAGGGAAGCAGGAAGTAGGGCTCTCCAGAATGTGATCTTGAACCTTATTCTTGGGATGAGCTGATAACCTCTGAGCATGCTTACAGATAGCCCTCTAAACCCAACAGGCTGGCAAAGGGGTCGTGAAAAAGGCGATTGGATGACAATGCTGGTCTTAACACTTTTATTGTGAGAATAGTTAAGAAATGTAATTGGTGGAATCTTCCAACCTTCTCACTTGCTGGGAAGACAAGAAATGCCAATTGTGTTCCTATCAGGGATGGGACACAGTTGGGTGAGGGTAGGTGAGTTTGGGAGAGTACCTTTATCCACCTGTCAGATTGTCAGGTGGATGTCACCCATGAGCCAAGCATTGGTTGTTCTTGGTGCTGAATGTAGGAGAAGAGTGGTATGTCATGTTTCTTCATCTCAGGTATCAGCAAGCAACCATCATGAAGGGTGTTTTTCGTGTAGGCTAAATTAGATGCTGTAACAGCTCTGTGTATAACAACTATGGAGGCATTTCTGATGTACATATTTGGTGTCTCCTGTAAAGCCAATATTTAGAATGAAGGTGAAATGGGCAACTGCCATTAGTAGTGCTCCAGTATTAAATCAGGTATTTTTGTGAAACTTTCCAGTCTGCTTGTCTTTGTGCATTAATAGAGTCTTTCCTGCTCTAACGCCCCTCCCGGCCCCCCAAATACTGGCTTCAAACTCTTTATCATCTCTGACAAGCTCAGTTACAGGCAGTCTTTGACTTATGACCACAATTGGAACCAGAACTTCCACTGCTAAGTAAAGTGGTTGTTAAATGAGTCACCCTCGATGTATGACCTTTTTTTGCCATGGTCATTCAGTGAAACTGTCACTGTTGTATGAAACCTGCAGTCATTAAAGCAGATCCAGCTTCCCCCAATTGACTTTGGTTGATGGATGTTGGTTGGGAAGGGCGCAAATGGCGATCATGTGACCCTGGGATGCTGCAACCATCATTCGTAGCCAAGGGCCTGAATTTTCATCCTGGGATTGCAGGAACACTGTGACAGCGGTAAGTGGGAAAACCTGTCGGAGCTCCCTTTTTTCAGCGCCATCGTAACTTTGAACTGTCTCTAAGTGTATGGTTGTAAGTCAAGGACTACTACCTGCATTGTGCTGCTCCAACACATTTTTTTTTGTATTTGTATTTATTTGTCAAAAGCTTACAATACAACAGAAACAAGAATAAACATAAATTTGAATACAAGAAATAGGAACTAATAATTGGGGACAATAGGACAGGGACAGTAGGCACGATTGTGCACTTATGCATGCCCTTTACAGACCTCTTAGGAATGGGGTGAGGTCAATAGAGGTTAGTTTGAGGGTAAAGGAGTGGGGGTTTGAGCAGGTGACAACAGAATCAGGTAGTGAGTTCCAGACATTGACCACTCTGTTGGTGAAATCGTACTTCCTGCAATCGAAAACGTGTAGCGAAAACATTTCAGATAGCCAAGCTGAGGACTGCTTCAGGCCTTGGAATGCTGACCCAGTGACCACACCAGACTAAAAGGATCAATGGCCTAATGGCCTGTTCCATAACTCGGGGGAGGCAAGCACCATTCTTCCCCTTCTACAGACCAAGGACTTCTGCCTCTAGGAGCGGAACAGAAACCAGGAAGTTCCGTGTTTTATGAAATTTGGAAACGGTGTGGCATGTGGGTTTCTCTTTCTGCTTCCTTTTCTTTCTTGAAAACCTTGAAAACAAAGCATTGCTTAAGATACTCTTTCTCAGCCTGTTAACCAGACAGGTAGCGAATGAGAGGTTGTGTAGCTTAAGCCTCGCACCTTTGGAAGACATCAATTTGGGAAAAGCGAAGCTTTTAAGGATAGCAGGGAGAATGAGGCATAAGGCAACCGTGTCTGCATTAAGTCACCCGCTTGCCACTGTTGACTGACTAGGCAAGTGGCAAAGGGCTGTGGCGCTCGAGAGGTTCTCCACTGGAGTGTTTGTGTGAGTGGGCTTTGGAGAGAGAGGAATTCGCATGAACCTTTTTCTGATTTTTCAGGCTCTACAACTATTCAAGGGTCACCCTTGGCCTTTTTGTGGCACGTCAAGGGTTGCATTCCAAAAAAAGTGGGTAGACCTGGGACAAGGTTCAGTCTGCTGTAATGTAAACCTAGCAATAGGTTCACCATTTTCTCACACTGTCCATTAAGAAGTACCATTTGGGGAAATATGGAGGCTTTGGTGGCGGTTGTGTCCGTGTGCAACTTTGGGACCCAAGCTATGCCATCCGCTGATGGCCTTTTTTCCCATCTCAGATGCTTTGAGGACACTCCCAGCTTCAGAGAAGAAAGAGGTCCTGTGGTCTTTTGGAGATTTATTGACTCCTTGCAGTTTCCGTAGGCTTTAATTAATGTATGCAGAGAATGAAAGCTCCAAAGCCCCACCCCCACCCCCCAATTTTTTTTAAAAAAATCCAAACCAGTGCATTGCACGGCCCTAATAGACAACACTAGGAGTGGGAAGTTTTCCATTCTGCAGAGCAATAATAGAAGTCATGACACCACTGCCATATTTTACCACGTGATCAGGGGAACTTAGCTCTAGCTGATTGATTTGATTTGATTTATCAATCGCTTACAAGATAATAGGTATAAGTATAAACATAGTTATGAATACATGAAATGGGTACATATAAGAAAAATAAAAAGAAACCATAGGATAGGGACAGTAGGCACGTTGGTGCGCTTATGCAAGCCCCCTATAGACCTCTTAGGAAAGGGGTGATCAGGAAATTTTACCACGAAAGCCCTGGGGAACTTAACTCTGGTTTATGAGTAGCCACTATAAATTATGATGAGCCAGTTACAGCAAAGTCCTCGGCTTGTTCAATCAGATGAACGTTCCACTGGATTCAGACAGGTTTTATCCCCAAACCGTCTTGAAGTGGAGGTCTGCTTCCTTAAGGGTAAACCTCATCGCTGAATGAACTTTACTTTCCGGGAACGCAACCTGCCTTTGCGAATGCTGCAGCCATGCTTCTCTTGAGCTGCTGCTGTGAATGAGAAGTGGCATTGTTCTGTATCTTATGTTCCTGCCCTGAGTGAAAGGCTGGTTTTTGGGAGGGAGGGTGGGTTTGGTCAAGTGAGAAGGAGTGAGGCAAGTGTTTGGTCTTCTTGAGAATGCGTCTGTGGGCGTTTCGGCGCAAAGCATTTGTAGCTATTGGGAGATGCTTTCCTGGAAGACTGTGTGTGATGGCAGTGACAAGGCATGCAGGAATTGATAAAGCTATACATCCAATTGCTACGAGGATATCCTGCCTCTATTGGGTGGTTGCTATGGTGGCCTCTTCTCATCAGGAAACCTGGCTCCATTCCCTTTTCCCACATTCATATGTCTGTGTCTCCCATTGCCTGGGCTACTCCTACTCTATTCCCTCTGCTGCAGAGACACCCTGCTTTTAGATCTGGGAGGGGCGCTGCCTTTTGTCATGGGAACATCCTTCCACTCCCACTCCCCCATTTTTGGGTGCTGAGCCTTGGGGGGATACTTTTGATCTCCAACCTTGCTTTTATCTAGTGCCAGAGGGGGCCCAGGTAGGGAATTTCCTCCTGCAGACTCCACCACCCAGGTGCAGCCCTCTCCCTTAGGTGGTGGAGCCTGGCTGGATGGCCAGAAAGCTTCTTTTTTTTTTACAACTCTACAGCACACATGTTTGACAAAATGCACTTAGCCTGGCTCTGTGGAGAGAGGGAGGGAGGGAGGAAGAGAGAGACAGAGAGAGAGAGAGAGAGAGAGCGCTGTGTGGAGTAAACATTAAACATTAAAATGCAGGAGATACGATTTTTCATTACCTCTTTCTCCCACACACTCCATCCTTTTGGTTTCTGTCCCTCTGTCAGAATATAAAACCATCTAGAAGATTTTGTAGTGGAGCCAGGGTTGGTGGCCAGAACATCTGGCTCCTCTTCTGTTATGTGCAGAAAACATGTATGTATGTATGTAATTGTGTGTGTGTGTGTGTGTGTGTGTGTGTATGTATGTACAGGTTGTCTTCGACCTATAACCATAACCGAGGCCAAAATTTCTGTTGCTAAGTGAAACATTTGTTAAAGTTCCATTTTACGACCTTTCTTGCCACAGTTGTTAAGTGAACCACTGCAGTTGTTAAGCTAGTAACACAGCTGTTAAGTGAATCTGGCTTCCCCATGGACTTTGCTTGTCAGAAAGTTGCAAAAGGGGACCCCAGAATATTGCAACCATCATAAATATGAACCGGTTGTCAAGCGGCTGGATTTTGATTTCATTGACCATGGAGATGCTGCAATGATTGTAAGGGTGAAAAAGGTCATAAGTCCCGTTTTTCAGCACCGTTTTAACTCCAAACAGTCACTAAATGAACTGTTGTAAGTTGAGGACTACCTTTATTTAAATTTATTAGCTAACCAACTCCAGTGGTCTTTGGAGTTTCAGAACAGTTCGACTTCATTCTTCAGTTCCCACCTGGAAGTGGAGAATGTACCTCCTATCTGAATTTGGTTCAAAATTCGTGGAAAAGAAAGAATTTTGGTGCCTGGGAAAAGAGGCAGAAATGATGCTGCTCCACCATTTTGTGTGGCATGTTACAAACTACACTGGCAAGCCTTTCCTTGAGTCACAAGCCTCTCCCTCTTGCTTGGTATTTAAGCCAGAGAGCCACTACCATTTCCTGCTGGGTTAGATTATTTATAATACATTTAAATATCCTCTAAGGAAAAAAAAGGGGTAGCATAATAAGCAGCTACTACCAACTGTTACAGCTGATCACAACTATTCTGTTGTGTTCCCTGATCTGGTGGTTTGGATTAATTTTATTCACTCAGTGACTGGTCCTTAACTGGAGATCCTGGACATAGCCAAATAGCCATATTAAAGTAATATTCATCTGTTACTGCTCTGGTAGAAAAGTATGTCACGGAATGCACCTGCCCTGATTGGTGAATGCTATTGTATCTCAGTAACAACTGTGGCAATTGATGCTGCCATTACAGTTTTAATGTGGAAATAGTTAGGAAATATGATTGGTGGAGTCCTCCAACCTTGATCTTCAGCCTGGCTAGAATGCAATACTGCTGGTTAATTCTGTCGATTGCCAGCAGTTCGATCCTAACCGGCTCAAGGTTGACCGAGCCTTCCATCCTGTCCATGGATGGGAGACAGAAGGGCACAGTATAAAGCAGAGTGGCCACTGAGCTACTTGCATCTTCAGTTAGCCTTGCAATGGAATTCCAGTGATGGCAGCTAATCCAGTTTTGTTCCCACGGCTGGCCGCACCTGGAAGTAGATGAAGAGCAGCTGTCGTATTAAAGCAGAGCAGGCAAAATTGTGCCATTCCAAGCCCCAGATAATTAAAATAGTAATAAGGATAGCCATGTGAAATCCCTTGTTGGCAGAAGCATGGAAAATAAGTTGTAATGTGACAAAAGCCATAACACACAGCTAGCCGAACCCTACCTTTTTTGTTTTAGATCACTGTAGATCACTTGAGAGCATTAGTCCTAATTTTTAAACATAGATCAGGAGCTGCTCTCAAAAGAAAGCTAAACTCATATTTTTTTAAAAATGGGTGCTACAGCTTTTCTTACTAGGAGTGTACATAAGACCTTGAGAGAGTGCTGGTTAGATTTTTGAAAAGTATTGGTCAAATCGTATGTGAATAACTAAAGTACCTAGATCAGAGGTCTTCCAACCTGTCAACTTTCAGACTTGTGGACTTCAACTCCCAGAATTCTCCAGCCAGGAGGATTCTGGGAGTTGAATTCCACAAGTCTTAAAAGTTGCCATGTTTGGGGACCCCTGACCTAGATCAAGGTTTGGCCTCCTGGAATTCTGAGAAGTCCACCCATCTTAAAGCTGCCAAATTGCAGCATCAACAATTTGTAGAAGTACACAGATGGTAGGTGCTCGATATCTGGTCTTTCCTACAACCTAACCCAAACGGCTACTGTGCTAAGGGCAGGTTTTCAGTAGCATACAGTGGGGTGATAGGACCTTGGCAGATCCCAACTCTGTCAGCCCCCACAAACATGCCGGTGAGGAATGGTGTTAGATTGTACGAGTGGTCAAAATGGTTTCAGGAGAAGAACCCTTTTACTACTTCGAAACTAGATCCGCAAAGGATGACTCCAGATCACCTTAGCTCTGTGCTGAGTGTGAGGCAAACGCAACCCTGATCTCTGGTGTGTGGAAATGGCCTTGGGAGACAGGCGAATGAGATGCTGCCTAGGGAACAGTTAGATAAGGGGAGGAGAGGAACCCGCAGTTGCAGAACAGGCAGAGAACAGGCAGAGAACTCCCTCTAACGTATCAGGCTGTGAACAGAGAAGCCAGAGATTTATACTTTCAGATTTGTAAGACTCTGTTAATGTAGCCTTGCCATAAAGTAGAATTACCTCATCTGGCTGTGTTTCCTGTCTGATCTTCCTGGGAAGCCTGACACCCTGGGAGGACACGGGATTAAAAAAAAGTGGTTACCGGGCATGTTGATGCTACAATTAGGATGTCAGCCTTCCCAGAGAAACCAGATAAGAAACGCAACTAGATAAGCTAATTCTACTTAATGGTAAGGTTGCTTTAACAGAATCTTCCGAGTCCGAAAGTACAGACTTTTCCACTGTCACTTTTAATTGCTTGATCCATTAGGGCAGGTCCTAAGTTTCTTTCTCTGACCATTAAACTACTGGGGGTTCCTGCCTATCTTGACTTATTTTTTTTCCAATGAACATCTCTTTCTCTCATTTGCCAAGGTGATTCACACATTCCATTACATCAGGGGGTGCACAATTGAACCTATTCTCTCTCCCTCCCTCCCTCCCTCTCCCTCCCCCTCCCTCCCTCGCTCAGTTGCTCTCCCAGCCATAAAAAACACTTCCTGCCCATTTTCTCTTTTCCTCTCATTTTTTCCCTTTTTCTTTCAGAATGCTGGGCCACGGTTCCTTGGGACCCAAAGTGCTGGCAGAATCTGTTCTGAATTCTAACGCCATGTGCATGACCCTGCCCTGGCTGACCCGTCGCCAGTTTGGACTATGTGTACGCAGCCCAGAAATGATGGCTTCAGCCTTGCAGGGCATCCACCTTGCCCTCCACGAGTGCCAACACCAGTTGCAAGAGAGGCGCTGGGATTGTTCGGACCTGAGCAGTGGCGGCACTGTGCTTTTTAACAGTGCCATCCTGAAGAGAGGTGAGAACAGGATTAAGTGGGAGAAAATGCTGGGCAGGGGGATGGAGGGTTTTCTTCTCTCTTTGTTGGGGTTGGTGGGCAATAAAATTAGGGGTTGGTTCGTCTCTCACTGCCACTGGTTCCCCTTCTGTCCTCTCCTTTACCCCCATGACTGATATAGTGCCCACAGAGATAAAGTAACATGGGATTACAGAAAAACAGTGAAAGAATTGGCATCTTGGCATAAATAGATCTATATGAAAAATATAAATGCAAGCACCCCGAAGGAAGGTATGGTAAGACCATGTCCGTGGAACACTGCATGGAGCAAAGGAACCTGCAGCCTTTGGTTTCAGATCGAGCTGGTCTTCATTTAGTTACTAAGCCTCTTGGTTAAAGTCCTTTCTTTCCCTCATGGCTCCTTCAAGGCTTCAAATATAAATTGCTTCCAACAAACATGGCTTGTTTCATGAAGATAGGTTGTATAGGTCATTAGAAATTTAAAAGGAGGGAGAGCGGGTCTGATGAGGGAAATTGACCCGACTGATGAGCTTCTGCACCTAGAAAGTATTGTGAGAATAAGAATCAGAAATCTGTCCTTGTCATTTAAAAATATTAGCTTTTAATTACCCTTCCTGGATCATTTTTAAATGCTACAGTAGGTATTAAAAGAGCCGTGGTGGCGCAGTGATTAGAATGCAGTACTGCAGGCTAACTCACTGCTCGCTCCAGGAATTCAATTCTGACTGGCTCAAGGTTGACTCAGCCTTCCGTCTTTCCAAGGTTGGTAAAACGAGGACCCAGATTGTTGGCGGGGGGCAATAGGCTGACTGTCTAAACCACTTAGAGTGGGCTATAAAGCCCCATGAAGCGGTGTTGCTATTGCAAAATACTGAATTGGGCGGTTTTTTTTGTTTTTTTTTGCCTTGCTGCAAAAAGAAAATGTGAAGTTGAAGAACTTTCTCTGCCTTGGTAAGTCACGGAAATAAGGAGACTGAAGAAGGGCAAAAGGGTTCAAAGAACAACTCTATAGTAAAACTTAGCCTTTTACAGGGACTTGCTGCGTCTCTGCGCTGATGTCAACTCCATTCCCTTCAAACAGCTTCCCTGAATTTTTGGAATTAGGGTTAACACTTTAAAAAACGGGGACGGGGAAATTTCCAGGACTACAGACTAGGGTTATTGAAGTGCATGAGGCTAAATGTATTACCCCTGGATATTTTTATGATTGAGAGAAAGGGGGAGGGGTATTTTTGTGACTAAAAGGGTAAATTACGTGCTTTAGTGGGTTTAGGGTACCAATTTTGCTTCTGATTTTGTCCCCGTCTTCCCAAAAAGAAAAGTCTGGGACAGTTATGCTCTTGGAAACTGTTGATTTTTCAACAAAGTTTAGATGTCCTCTGAAAGCTGAAAATTGGATATAGTCAGCTGGGCCTTGAGTTTCTACCCCTGATTTAACTCAGTTTGGATATTGAAACCAAAAAGTCTTGGGCCGTAGCCCAGGAATTGGGGACCCCTGGTCTAAGCTATCTGAAATGAATTCTTCCTTCATTGTACATTGTACTATGCAGTCAACTATTTTCAGTTTGGAAGTAAAATTGGTTACACCAGGAAGAGGAACAAGTAAAAAGGGGTAGGGGTAGCAGGATGTAATTGCTGTAGGGCTGCTGTCAGCAAATAGCATCTTTGAGCCGCTCAGAATTGCTTTGAACTGGGAGCTGGCAAATACATTTAATAATACTAATAATCTTTGCCCCATCACTTCAAAATGGTTTATTGCTAACGCCTACCAAATAGTAGCAGCAGCAGCAGCCACCAGCTGTTCCTTTTCCTTGCATCAGTAAGGATCGCGCTGCTGAGCTTGAATGTCTTTGGTTGGCTCGCTCCCATTGGTTCCTTCCTTTGTTCCTGTTATCTGTGCTGTGGAGGGAGGATCCTTGGCTGTGAACTCCCAACACCTAGCATCCCTCCCCATTAGTCGTACTGGGAGGAATGCTGGGAGTTGAAGTTTAGCCTCCTTAGGAGGGCCAAAGTTAGGAGGACCATCCTCCTTTTTAAGGAATGGTCAAACCTGATCATAACTGCTTGAGCACAGTCTTCAGAAAAGGGCTAATCTGTAGAAGATCCTTGACCACCAGTGGAGTTGGGAAAAGGCACCCTTGATGGTGGATTCCTGACTTGAAAAGGAATCCTGCCAAAAGCAACACCAGCAATTCATTGCTTTTGCTTCCTTTTCTCCCTAGCTGGACCAACAACTGGGAGCAGCGAATAGCAATGATTCTGCTGCCTGTCCGCATCCGTGTTCCGTGGGTGGCATGGCAGCAGGCATTGTCTCCCAGGTGGAGGAAGCAGCTGAGAGTATTTTGCTAAGCCTGCCTGGTCATGGCTGCCCTCTTCTACACCCCTGCCTTTCTTCCCAGGTGCTGCCTCACCCAGGCCTCTTGCCTTGGTTGTGCTAAGAGTGGCCAACACCTGACTCCAGAGGCAAATTGGCAGGCAGCTCTTTTCTTTTGTCCTTTGCATCTCTTTTATTAATTGAGCTTTGAAGGAGCCGGTTCTAAATTTAAACCTGAGTTCAAAGCAAGGCCTCTGGGCAGGCAAGAGCTGGAACAAGCTCCAACCTAAGCACCTGGGCTGAGCCGCTGCTTGATGTGTCAGCTGCTGCTTGATGTGTCATGAGTTTGGTGTGGCTCATCTGCGTTCACAGGAATAGGAGAAGCGTCAGGAGACTAATGAAGACTGGATTAAGGAGGAAATGCCTAATAGATATTAGGGACTAGAGGCATTGTGATGATAGATACCATGGCTAATTTACATTATAAAGCAAGTCTCTATCAATTTATAAACAACAATCACGAAGAAAAATACCAGCTCTAGGCACGTGTGATGCTTAACAGTCCTAATGAGTTCAATGCAATACTCATGTTTCTCAACCTGCTGTTCTCCAGTCGTGTTGAATTGCAGCACATTAACTCCCAACCTGCCCAACAATTGTGTCTCTATGATTTTACAAAACGTTGAGGTCCAACGTATCTGGAGGCATCAGTAGACAAGGGCATATTTAAGCTATGGAGTAATTTAGGAGTAATTGTTTTTCCCAAGGGATTAGTGCATTAGTGAGGCAGGAAGATCCAGAAGTTCTTTAGGGGAGCAAGCTGTAATAACTCATCCATACTGTGAAGATAAATAGTTTCAGAGTAGATTTTTAAAGACCACCCACGGCTTTAATTCAGCTTGAATTATTAGCTGTTACATATGCGCACATGCTTAATTTGATGAAAGGATGAGAATCCAGCTTTCTTCAACCCCAGATGTGGATTATTTCAGCTCTGAATTTAGGTGTGAGGATGATGTAAAATGGACAGAAGACTGTAGTCCTCAATTTAAAAAAAAAACGTGAAGGAATCGTGGCAGGATTAAGGGAGACATTGACCCCTAGTGATCTTACGCCTAAATGCTCAAGAGTCAACATCACCTTGAAGACATGTACTTCTTATGTAAAGGCTTCTTGGCTTTAAAGACTCTTTACTCTTCCCTGTGTCTGCTTCCTAGGCTTCCGGGAAAGCGCCTTTGTCTTCTCCTTGCTAGCAGCCGGGGTGACCCATGCAGTGGCAACTGCCTGCAGTCTGGGACAATTACAAAGCTGTGGCTGTGCCAGGCAAGGCACGGAGAACCAGAAACTGAAACTCAGCCAACTGCAGTCTCTAAGCCGGGGCAAAAGCCTGCCCCCTATGCCATCCTCGTTGTGGGGACAGCCTAGCCCGCAGGACACCTGGGAATGGGGTGGCTGCAGTGCAGATTTTGCATATGCCCAGAGATTTGCCCGGCATTTTTTGGACCCACGAAGAAAACCCCGTGATGCTCATGCCCGGATGCAGCTACACAGTCATCGTGTGGGCAGAAAGGTAAGCTGTGAATCTTGGGCGGGGTTTTAGAGGATGGAAATATTGTCATTAATACGTGGCATAATGAAAGCTCGGCGAAAGCGTAATCATGGAGACAAATCTTACTGCTACGATTCTGCCACAGTTGCATTACTTGGTGTAAATAACAGTTAATCTATATCTGTTATCTGGTGCTGTATTTAATATATTCAGGTTTCATGGTGTTGTTTTTTTTAATGCTTATTGCTAATGTATAGCTATCATGGTCATGGAGATCAGTTTGAGAACATAAAGTTGATAATACTAAACGTGTCTCAACTAAATTCAGATTCTTTTCCCAAACCTTGTGTTTGTGACACTATGGTGTGCAGGAGAAATACATTCCAATAACTTACTCTCAGAGGGAAGGTGCCTGCTGTGTTTCTGCATGATTTACCATTCTAATTATGCTTGCTTCCATTCAGGAATTCTACTGTATTTCTACATTATATAGAGAGATTTAGCAGAATTATTTATGTTATGTATTCCCAATATAAGGGAGCATTAGGATTTTCTTCTTTTGCATGGACCTCACTTCTATTAATCAGGAATTATGCTTGAGTAGCTGATCCAACAGAAATGCTTAGCTCCTCTAAATGAAACTTTCTCATATGAGAGAGAGTGAACTGTGCTTACATCAACAGAACACTCTGGATAATAAGAAATTTAGGGGCAAGTTTAGAGACCTGCTTAAAAAGTTGCCTGCAATGTATCATCATCCAGAATTGAGGCATTCTGCAAAATTTATTTATTTATTTATTTTATTTATTTTGATTTGTCAATCACTTACAAGATAATAGGTATAAGTACTGTATATATATAGTTATGAATACATGAAATGGGTACATATAAGAAAAATAAAAGAAACAATAGTACAGGGACGGTAGGCACATTGGTGCACTTATGCACGCCCCCTACAGACCTCTTAGGAAAGGGGTGAGGTCAATAGTAGACAGTCTAAGGTTAAAGTTTTTGGCACGCAAGAAAAAATGGAAAATTAGTTACTTTCTTTAAATAAACATGAATGTGGATTTATTTGACTCCTGTCTGAGAATATGTTCTATTGAAGAACACTTTCCAGATTTGTCCTGACTTTCCTTATAGATGCTTTTTCAATATTGAAGCTATAATGGATAGAACTTGTTATAGCAATAAAATAGGTTTTAGAATGAATTAAACTGAAATGCACCATTGCCTAAGATTTTGGAGGCTATGTATGGGACATTCCAGCCATTGCTTCCCTGTAAGTAGTCCTTGGAGTTACGCTGGAGAGGAAATGTTGGGTCTCCATGACCACAATCAACCGCTTTGGATAGACTTATCCTCCATTAAATTATCCAATACCTTTACAAGTCATAACGGAAGTGATCCTCACCATGTCTTGTGTCAAAGAATTACTCAGGTTCATTATGTGAAGGAGTGCTTTCTGCGATCTATTTTTAATCTTCTCATCCATCTTATAGGACGGGGGTGTCAAACTCAAGGCCTGCGGGCCAGGGGAGGCCCACGGGGTGCTTAGATCTGGCCGTGGGGCCGCTTTGGAAACAGCAAAGGACCGGCCTGTGGTGCCTCTGCCAGCAAAAACACAGCTCAGGAGGGCTGCATGCAGTCCTCCCAAGCTCTGTTTTTGTTGGCCGAGTGCTCGGGCTACCAAAAGCACCCCTGACACAAGTGAAATTGACCTGGCCATCCCCTCCCCACACCACAAGGTCAAACACAACCCTGATGCGACCCTCATTTAAAACGAGTTTGACACCCCTGTTATAGGATGTCATTTGTAGTGTTTTGAGACAAGGTGAAGAAATTTTTATTATGCTGTGAATGTTTTTATTCATCTTTTTTTTTTTCAAGCTAAAGAGTTTGGAAAACTAGGTTTTGTCCTCATAGAGAAGATGTTTGAATTTGGGTCATCATCTTAACATTTTTTCCAGCTCTCTTATTACATTTCCCCCCCCAAATGTGGCAACAATAAACTATCCACATCTCACTTCAGATGTGTATGTACTATACATTTATATAGGGTTATGATAGGGTTAGCATTTTTATTCTGTCTCTTTTCTAATCCTCCCTAGTGTGAAATCAGTCTTTTCTGTACTGAGTAGTCAACACTTTCACTGAGCTACCCATTACAATCCCAGGATCATTTTCCTGGTGGGTTAAAGGTGGCTCAAAGCCCATTAGCATAAATGTGAAATTACAGGGTTTTGTTCCAACATGTATCACTTAACACTCACTTAAATTCAGTTCCATTTGCTCTTTGGCTGACCATTCATCCAGCTTGAAGAGATCCTTCTGGTGCTCATCTCAATCCCGCCTAGTTTTTTACCTCTTAGGATATTTCAGTGTCATCCATAAACTCAGCCAGCTCATTGCTTATTTCTCAAAATTGTTTATGAATATCCTTGTGGGATTTCACTTCTTTCCTCTTTGAGAAAATTACCTGTTTAATCCTATTTGGGGGATACATCCTCTTATCCATTGATGTGAAGTTTACTCAAAAAGCTTTGAAAAGGAGACTTCTCAAAGGTTTTGTTTTTTTTAATCCAGGTATATTGTGTTAACAGAGTCAGTTGTATCCACATGTCTGTAGTTGGTACTCTCAAAAACCTCTAAAAGGTTGGAAAGGCAGGTGGCATACATGTCTACATGAAAGCTATATATTGCAAGAACAGGTAGTCTACAACTTACTACATTTTGTTTAGTGAGTGTTCAAAGTTACAACAGCACTGAAAAAAGTGAATTATGACTGTTTTTCACATTTACGATGGTTTGCAGTATTCCCATGGTCCCATAATCAGAATTTGCCTGCTTGGCAACTGGTTCATATTTGTCCTAGTTGCAATATGCCATGGTCATGTAATCCCCCTTTGCAACCTTCTGACAAGCAAAGTCATTTACTAACAACTGCAATGATTCACTTAACAGCTGTGGCAAGAAAACCAAAAACCAAAAGTACACATATAGACTGGGTGAAACCAGGCTCAATAGCAGTAGCTGTGAGAGAGATCTTGAAGTCTTAGTGGACAATCAGCTAAATATGAGCCAGCAGTGTGCAGCAGCAGCCCAAAAAGCCAATGCAATCCTAAAGTGCATTAACAGAGGGATACAATTGAGATCAAGTGAGGTACTAATACCACTGTATAAAGCTTTAGTAAGACCACACCGAGAGTACTGCATCCAGTTTTGGTCACCACATTATGAAAAAGATGTTGAGACTCCAGAAAAAGTACAGAGAAGAGCAACCAGGATGATTAGGGGACTGGAGGCTAAGGCATATGAAGAACGGTTACAGGAAGTGGGCATGGCTAGTCTAGGGAAAAGAAGGATCATCACTTGAGACTTTCAAGAAGAGATTGGACTGCCATTTGTCAGAAATGGTGTAGGGTCTCCCGCTTGGGGGGGGGGGGTTGGACTAGATGACCTACAAGGTCCCTTCCAACTCGGATTATCTGCATCTAAGAAAGGTCATAAAATGGGACAAAACTCACTTAAGAAATGTCTCATTTAGCAGCATAGATTTTAGGCTCCATTGTGGTTGTAAGTTGAGGACTGCCTGTACTCTCTAACAGCTACCAGATCAGACATTAAGCAGTCATAGCATAATATGTGTGTTAACACATGAATAGGTTATGGTATATACTCACAAACAAACCAAGAATTTTAGGTGCCAAAAGGCGCTCAAAAAAATTGGATTCAGTTTCTCTGCAGAGGGACTTATCCATGAATACAATGCATGCAGTGCTACTTCTAAAAAATACCGATATATCCACATACACTCATGGATAAGCCCATCCATGGATAAGCTGACTCATTTTTTTAACTAAAATATCATGAAAAATAGATACTGTAATCTATGGATTACCTAAGGATAAGCCAATTGTGGAAATTAAAACATGCCAACATTTTGAGCGTTAACTTATCTACGAGTGGCACATTTTTGGCTAAAAATTTGAGGGACAGTTTATTTGTAAATATATTTGTGAGTATATACAGCGTTTGGGTATTAGAAACTCAACTAGAAAGGTAGGGGAATTCTGGGAGATTCCAGACTTGCTCCATAGATTAAGACAGTTGAGATAACGCATCCAGCTTATTTGGCTGATGCTTCCTTAGCTTTCTTATGTAAGTGCTAAATTATGGATTGGCCTGATTTAAAAAAAAAAAAAAGAAATATATGGTGGCTTTGGATTCTCTGGGTAGTGGGGGAAAGATACATTTCAATCAGCACCTCTGCTCCCTTTCCACAGGTACCATGAATTTCAACTCCTTGGTGGGATCAAAAGAAGCAGGGGATTTTGACCTTTTTCTACCGCTAACCTTCTCTTCTGGTCTCTCTTGGCAGGTGGTGTCAGAGCTGAGCAAGCGCAGGTGTAAATGTCACGGCCCGTCTGGGAGCTGCCAGTTTCGGACATGTTGGTTAGCAGCCCCTGATTTTCGCCACGTGGGTTCCATCTTACGGGACCGAATGGACCATGCCACACTCTCGCGGCTGGACAACAGAAACTCGGGAGCCTTCTGGCCACGACTCCGCAGCTCCCACCTGGCCAAGCACCTCATCTTCTATGAATCCTCCCCTGATTTCTGTGAGCCAGATCCGAGCCTGGGTTCCTCAGGCACCCACGGTCGCCCTTGCATCAAGAGCAGCCCAGAGCCAAATGGCTGTAGCAGCCTGTGCTGTGGGCGCGGCCACAACATGCTGCAGGAGGTGCGAGCTCAGCGTTGCCAGTGCCGTTTCCATTGGTGCTGCCATGTGCAGTGTGAGGAGTGTCCTTCCACAGAGTGGGTTAGTGTCTGCAAATGAATAGGGAAGGCCTAACCCCTTACTCTGTGCTCCAGCCAGCCGTATGACAAGTGCCTGCTGCAATATCAGCCATAGGGATAATAAGACGAGCTTTGGACTGCTGACCTGCTTTCTGTGGGTCCCTTGCTCCATCATGGAAACATACCTAATCCTTCCAAGAGAAGACTTGCTTCCAATAGAGGGCAAGCAACAAGGAAGAATTCCTCAAAGAGATACCCTTTTTTCTTCTCTTGACTGCCAGCTTGGTCCTATCTCAGTTTATTGCAAGCTGCCCTATATGATTTAATGGGTAGAGAACAGTGTTGATCTGGTCCTGCCACTGCAGGAAGAAAAAACCTGGACCAAAGTGGCAAAATTTTTTATATTGGAGCTAGATTTTTCAGAGGCTAGAGTCAAGGAAGGGAGACATGTTAAAACCAACATGGTCCCAGAATCTCAGAACGTCTCCTATATAAGAACTTGGAACATTAAAAGTTTTAGTTGGAGAGTGTTTGCTGTTTGCAGCCAGGAGGAGAAATAGATTGTCATTTGGGGGCCAAAATTAGTTTTGCAAGATTTGCAGTTGTTGCTAATAGCACAGCCCACTGGCAAAATTGAATCTGGAGTGCAAAAGGTTAATTTATTATTTTGCTCTTTTACTGATCTATGTTTGTAAAACTGTTTGGTATAGTTAATGGAGAGAAAGTTGGTCCCTAGTTTTATCTGGGAAACCAAATTCATTCATTGACCTAACTTTTTTTTTTATCCTTTATACTCCCGCTTCAAGCGATAGTAGTCCTCTGGTGGGCATTTATCCCCTCGATTACGATAGAGCAGGTAAACCGGATTAATCTGGTTCCTGAGCATCAGACACTCAACCTAACCCTTTCTTGTGTCAATCTGCATATGTTATGTGCTTCCCCTCAGTAAACATGAGTTCCCCACCTCAGGCCCATGTCTTCTTGTGGTTTGATTAAAGATTTCAGAATCCATTAGCCAGAACAGATTTTTGTTTTGCTACATTTCTTGCTTACACAAGTGTTAGTTTCTTGGTTAAAATGAAATTATTTTAATGATTTTCACACCAAACACTACTCATATATAATGTATAGCAGAGTGAGCATTGAAACTACATAATCAACCCTAAGATTTAAATCCACGATAACATCAATGCAGTTAATAAAAATACAATTTGATTTTAGAAAATTGCTTCAGTTAGAATTCAAAAGATAGAGAAGATGTTTATTTTAAAAAACCCTGTCCATGAAATCAAACCATAGACTAGCTTAAATGGATTGGAAAGCTGGGCTTTGACGTAGAAAGATAAACCAGCTTCCATGAGAGGACAAAGCACATTAGCTGAAGAACAAACTATTGTGGGGGGAAATCAGTACCTACATTGTTAAAACTCCAGAAACTAAGCTGGATCAAAATCTACATTTCCTCTGTATTAGTGGGATTCTGGCCTGGTGGGACTTAGAAGCCAATCTAGGATGCTTGCAGAATTATTTGCAATTTGAGAGGAGTTCCTTCTGCATTTGTACCCATGAAGAAAACATTTGTCAGGATCCTAGCCACACAGTTGAAGTGCTGTTTACCTGTCTTTAGGTCACCAGAAACTTGAAAGACATAGTAGTTGGCTTCCCCATTCATTTTTATTTTGCCCCCGTTTCAAGTCACTGCTGTTCCATAAATTCCCTTCAGGGGAATGGGTGACAAAGCCTAATAGATTTTGCAGACTTGAGGCTTATCCTGGGATGGTGTCTGAATAAAAGGAGAAATGCTACATTAGCAACTGAGGGTGAATTAAGCTTTCTCACAAGCTTACAATGCCATGGTTAACTGTGAACAGGGAAAGTTCTTAATTTAAAAATGTCTGAGAAGTGAAGTCTTGGGCAGAAGGTAACGAAAAGGTTTGCAGATACTAGAGCAATGTTTCTCAACTCAGCAACTTTCAACTCTGGACTTTAGGTCCCAGAATTCCCCAGCCAGCGTGCTAACCAGGAAAATCTAGGAGTTAAAGTCTACAAAGCTTAAAGTTGCTGAGGTTGAGAAACTGCTCTAAAGTAACATTAGATTGATGAGATGCTCCTGCAGGTAAATATTGGAAAAAGGGAAAACATACCCTATACAAATAAGAAACCTGTCACTCAAAATATATCTTACAATTTGGATGCAGTAATGCAACCATGTTGGCTTAGGAGTTACAGGCACATGCCAGGAAGTGTTTGCCATTGTAGTAAGTGTGGGGAAAACATGGACTGTAATAATATATGTGGTTTGTAGTGTCTGTGTCTGTATGTGTTTGTAATTAGCTTCATATATGAGTGTGTGCATTTAAGTGCCAAAACATCATCATCTTTGCGTCCAAACCGCAGCCTGTGGAAATTCCTGTTGACTTCTGTCAGACCCTGGCTCTGGCCTCTGGGAAAGGCGCTTGCTGCAGCCAGTTCCATGGGGTGATTTACTACATGGCCGCTGCAAGGCTGCAGCACCAGTCAGCTGAGGATGCTGCAGTCACCTAAGAGCAGATGCTCCCCAAAAGCTACAGTAAAGCATACTGCCACTTGCACAAGAACATGTTTGGATTGTAGTGGTGTTAGTGTGAGATTACCAGCTACTAAAATGTAAACATACAACAGTCTGAGGCTCTGAATGGTATGCAACCTCCAGAATTGCTCCAAACATTGCCATCACATTCTGCTTTTTAATGTATAACCGTAACAATGCCTAACCCATATTCCTTGTTGAGAAGAAGAGTTGCTCCTTTTGATGCCTAATTTGCAAATCAGACACCCCTCCCCCCTTTTTCTACTGCCAAGTGCATTTTCTTGCTAGCTTTGTATGGAGGACATATCTACCAGGGTCAGCCTACACCACTGATGGCAAACTTTTTGGGCTGGCCTGTCAAAAATTTGACAAATGCCTAATTTGAGAGTGCTGGTATGTCACATACCATACCTCAAATAAAAGATAAACAATTTTCTATCTCCCCTACCCTCAAAACCTATGTCATCCTGAATAGTGGCACTCAGCAACAGTGCCAAGGTTAGGCCTGAAGTGAAGGCCCAGACCATCACTGATACTCAAAAAGGCACCTGAGCCTTGGAGAATGGTGCAATCGCTTTGCAGCCCAGCGCTCCGGAGGATCTGCTATACGCTGCTTACCTTCAGGTGATCTTTCTGTTGACAAGCCCTTATGGCCTATGTGAGGCTGCTCCAGGCTTTGTGAAGCTCTCATTTTTGAAGCAGCTGTGAGAGAACGCTCTTTTTGGAGCCTCTGCAACCTCCAAAAACCGTGTGAAAGCACACCCTATTCTCACATGATTTGGGGGCTGTGGAGGCCATGTGAGAGCGCACTCTTTTCTGGTGCAGCCTCTGCAGCCTCCAAAAATCCCATGAGAACCGGGGTTACATTCAAGAATAGTTCTGGATGAACATGGGTGTTTCACTCAAAATGTTATGGCATATCGTCTTTGCCACACACGTCATAGTTTTGCCATCACTGGCCTATACCAATGTTCTTAAGGCCCCATTTATTGAATGGGAGCTGCCCAGAATATACTCTATAGGGATTGTTCTTCCAGTTCAGAGGGACTCTCTTCTCATAAGGGTGCACCTGCTGGTAGCTGCCTCACATTGTTTCAAGGCAGTGCAACTTCCATATTGGAGTAGCTTTTTCACAGTCTACCAAGATATGCTTCCTAGCAGCACTAGGCTTTCATAAAGCTGAAACCATATTTGCAGCATCTTTCCTGTGTTAAATAATTATTAGTATGTTAAATAATTATTAAAGAGTGACTGTTGACCTCAAGTGCTTACAGATTCATTACTGAATTGGGTGAGTAGAGAACATTTTTACATGCCCAGGAGCACTTTTTTACTCAAATGTTGGGGCTCAAAGTCCTGGTTTAGGAGAGACATCCTTTTTTGATAAGGATTTTACCTATAAAACCAGGATACCAAAGGAAAGAGAAGTGGGCAACTGTCTAGAAAAGAAATTCAGTATTGCTTTTGTTTATGTACATTTCCCATTTAACATGGAGAAGGGGAATAAAATGGGAAAATAGTAAACACCATATAATGCCTACTTAATGCAATTTCTTACAATAAATTACCTAAACATGAGCACCCAAATAGAAACATGAGCAATCAAACACATTTTTGAGAACAGTTGGGATATGTCCACTAGGCGTAGAATGCATTCTTAATTCAGTGATGTTCTAGCAGATAGTTAAGTTTACAAAACCTTAGAGAAGGTAAAATATCAGTGTACTTCTAGTGTTAAGAAAAGCAGAAGTCACTTCTTTATAACTTTCTGTTTTTTTCTTTTCTATTTTTATTTGTTGCTTTGCTTTCCTTACTTTTCTCTTTTAAAATTTATATTTCTTTTATTCTATTAGAAATATTTTTAATAAAATTTATATATATATATATATGCATTATAAATAGAGCTGTTTTGGTTGAGATGGGTGGCATATAAATATGATAAATACATAGTTTATGGAGAAACACACACATCTGTACAAGCACAACACATATATGACTGAATATATGACTGGATAGAGCAAGTTTTTTTCTGCATACAAAAAGTAATGATAAAAACATGGGAAGAGCACTATTTGGTAAAAACAGATTTTGAAGGCAAGCCTTCTTCACAGGATACGAGTTGAGGCTTTTTCTCTTTCTTGCATCTCGCAGTGGCACTCAAGGAGAACTAGTTGCTGATCATCCTAAATTTCTTAAATGAAGAAATTTCATGTGCTGACAGACCCTGGAGGCTGCATCCATTAAGCCAACCAGAGGAGGCTCTTTATGGAAGAAGGCAGAATTATTTAGCATTCCCCAGTTTCCTCATTCTGGTCCCAGCCCAAGAGGGACCCACAAGCTGTGAGTCACGCTGGACCAGGTCTCCTTGCTGAACTCAGCTTGGTCTCCACCCATGACCATGACTTCATTGCAGGACTTTCTTTGCACTTCAGCAGGGAGTGGTTTGAGTTTGAACACAGCCAACTATATGTGACGCAGTGCTTAATAAGAAAGAGGCATTTTAATGTAGGTGACATAAAGAGACAAGTTAACATATAGTTATAGAGCGGGACAGAAAGTAGCTTTTCA